ACTGTAGAATATATAAAAACTGTATATTCTACAGTCAACCTTATATGTGGTTCATATAAGCTTATATGGGTCAGTATTAATTTTTTTACATATATTCGTCTCTCATAATTTTTTTTCAAGCCAGTCTAAAACGTAGGAACTTCGTACATTACTCAATAAAGTGATTTTAAACTGAACAGAAATGCCATAACTTTATCCAGTCCCAAAGTAACCACATAACGCCAGAAATAACCGTGACATAAAACATCCCAGTGCCTCCACTGACTCAAAAAATCCTAGCAGAGTGGTAATGGGAGAGAGACTATGCGGAGGGAGAGAGAGGGGGGGAGGGGATGGTAGGTAAATCGGAACGTTAATCAAAACTTAATACTAGAGAGTTAGGAATTCTGGCCACAACACAAGGAGTTTCAGTTCTCTCTCTCTCTCTCTCTCCCCCTCTCTCTCTCTTTATCTCTCTCTCTCTCTCTCTCTCCTCTCTCTCTCTCTCTCTCTCTCTCTCTCTCTCCTCGTCTCTCTCTCTCTCTCTCTCTCTCTCTCTCTCTCTCTCTCTCTCTCTCTCCTCTCTCTCTCTCTCTCTCTCTCTCTCTCTCTCTCCCTCTCTCTCTCTCTTATCTCTCTCCTCTCTCTCTCTCTCTCTCTCTCTCTGACAATACCTCTTACGATTAGTGACGGCCATTGAACAACAAAGGGCCTTCTTAGTCAATTCGAGAACGACAAACACCACCCATACACCCCCAACACACACACACACACACACACACACCACACACACACACACACACACACACACCACACACACACACACACCACACACCACACACACACACACACACACACACACACACACACACACACACACACACACACACACACACAGAGGACGGAATTTCACGGGTGGTGCTTAAGGGTCAGCACAACGCTTGATGTTCCGTCGTGAGGCAGAAGGCCAGGAGGACCTTTGAATGTATACGACTAATTTCTCTCGGAGAACGGGGCTGCGCTGGTAGGGAAATGAAGAGAACTATCAGGGAAAAGCGCCAAGCTATCACCACTATATAGCACTGGGAAGGGGTCAGGATAAGGACTTGGGATGGGACGGGGGGAAAGGAATAGTGCCAAATCACATGGACGGTTGAGGATTGACGATTGGAATCCTTCATGCGGGATGCTTAAAAAGGGATACTTAACATATGGGACACATATGTTAAGTATCACATAACTAATGGACACATATGGACACTTAAAAACGTTAGAGTCAAATTGTTAGGGATCTTCCCTTATTCTGGACTGCAATAAGAAAATAAACTTGATAGCCTTGCCAGGCTTGCACTGGTAGGGAGAGACATTTTAATTAAAATACCTGTAATGAACTTTCTTGTAACGAATGTAGTTTGCAATGTTTCTCCAATGAGGCAAATATTAGTGATGCGACTAATACTTGTATAGTAGTAGAATTAGCAGTAGTAACTGTAGTAGTAGTAGTAGTAGTAGTAGTAGTAGTAGTAGTAGTAGTAGTAGTAGTAGTAGTAGTAGTAGTAGTAGTAGTAGTAGTAGTAGTAGTAGTAGTAATAGCAGCAGTGGTTGCAGTTGTAGTAGTATTAGCGTTGGTAATAGTAGTATTAGTAATAACCTTACTAATAATTAGTAATACCCTTACTAATAATGACAGTAGTAGTAGTTGCAGAATAAATTATAGTAGTGGAAGTACTAGTGCTTGTAGCAGTAAAAATAGTAGCTTGGAAAGTACTACTACTACAAATAATAATAATAATAGTATTTGGAGTAATAGTATCAGTAGTACTTATAGTATAAGAAGTAGTAATAGCAGTAGTTGTAATAGCTGTAGGACAACGTTTCCCTTCGCCTGTACCTGCGTCAATGCAGGTACATTGCATTGTACTTGAGAATGATTGAAATGTATTTAATTCCATTTTGTATCATTTACCATTCATTTGCAAGATGTTTACATTTTCAGTAACAATGAATTCAAATTTAAATTTTAATCTACCCAGCAAATTTACAACAATTAGTCTAGACAACGGGTCATTGCCAGTTCCTCTTTTTGGGCAAAATACCACATATGATCGAGGTCCCTTTGTTTCAATTAACTTAATTGATGAATTCAATTTGACCATCAGTGCCTCATTCGAAATTTCCATAAATAATTGCCACCAGTAGAGAATAAATATCAGTTTGTTCCTGTTTCGAAGTCAATGCTGCTAACAGCAGCATCCTTGATTCCTGGTCCCTGGAAAGCCCTTATCCTCCTCATCCTGACATTGAAACAAGAAGTGCTCTCTATATATTTAACGTGGAACTCCCATTAAAACATTCTTATCCTATTGCTTGCTTCCCTATGTTGTCCTACGTTGTACTGCAAAGGTGTTTACTGACTCGTGTAAAGTATCAGTAGGTCTCTTAACTCTGGACGACTAACTGCTAGGATCCGTCACCGGTCTGGCACAGAGACGGAATGGAGAGACGGCGTGAGGCTTGACAGGACGTTGGAGGAAGGTACCTAGCTGATAAATGACTGATTGACTGGCTGGCGGACATAGGAGTGTGAGTATTATATAGTGATCAGGTCAATAGGCGCTGGTGCCACGCCATCTTTTCAACTGTCACTCGTAGCATTATTGACCTTATCCTTACCTGGCGGTTACCTTGCGATGATTTCGGGGCTCAACGTCCCCGCGGCCCGGTCTTCGACCAGGCCTCTTAGTTGCTGGACTGGTCAACCAAGCTGTTGGTCGCGGCAGCTCGCAGCTTGACGTATGAATCACAGCCTGGTTGATCACATATCCCTTGAGGGTGTTTATCAAGTTTTCTCTTGAACATTGCAGGGGGTCGGCCAGTTATGTGTAGTGGAAGCGTGTTGAACAGTCTCGGGCCTCTGATGTTGATAGAGTTCTCTCTCAGAGTACCTATTGCACCTCTGCTCTTCAACGGGGGAATTCTGCACATCCTGCCATGCTTTCTGGTCTCATGTGGTGTTATTTCTGTGTGCAGGCTTGGGGCCAGCCCCCCTCTAGTAGTTTCCACGTGTAAATTATTATGTATCTCTCCCGGCTGCACTCTAGAGAATACAGATTTAGGCATTTTAATCGGTCCCAATAGTTTAGATGTTTTACTGAGTGCATTCTAGCAGTTAAGATCTCAGCACGCTCTCCAGATGAGCAATGATTCCAGGTTTGGAAGGGGCTGTCATTGTGCAACAGTATTCCACTCTTGAGAGCACTAGCGCCTTGAAAAGTATCACCATATAGAATAGCATTGGTATAGTTTGAAAGGTTATTGTTATCCAATCTGTCATTTTTCTTGCAGTTGTGTCATTAAGAATCCCTTCAAACTGCTGCTAAATCTAAACTTAATTGTGGATACTTGACCAAGTTTGAACTGCTATCTCCAAGACAGAAAGTAAGCAATTATATGATGTATAATGAGATATATAATAATTATAATAATATATATAACAAGTGGTACATAGGTGTGTAGCGATATTAACGCTGGGTGGAAATTAATCTGACCCACCGTAAAGTGTGGAAACTTTATCGCTGTATGTATATACACTGAGAGTTTACCTCAGTCCTAAACTATACTTAGGACTTACGTATACTCCTTAGATGATCAGCATGTTATTGTGGTTGTCTTTGTAACCCTCCAGAGGTTGTGAGGCCTTAAGCCCAACAACAAACCTAACATCATGAAATATACCACAGACACACCAAGCGGTAAACTCCGCTCACGTAGTATACATACATCAGAGTTTACTTTAGCCCTTGACTATATTCTGGACTAAATTATTCTTCCTGTAGAGTTAGTAAGCTTGTCTTACGGCCTTAATCACCCAATTAATAATTGGGTTATTAAAAAAATTTCAATAAATTCTGTGATTTATTGAACAATCAGCCATAGAAGGTGATTGTAGTACTTTTTCTCCATAGATTCTTAGGCCTTAAATCCAAAAAAAAATAAAACATATAATTGTTTGAATGTATGTAATAGCTCGTCCAGAGAAGCGATTATTGCAAGATGATAATTGAGGTCCGCTGCGCGTTGCATTGTGCTCCGCTAACACTTTGATGCGATATAAACAAGTTCATTTTTATATTCATATATAATAAGCTATATATATATATATATATATATATATATATATATATATATATATATATATATATATATATATATATATATCAATTTGCCTATCTATGTTTCAATCTCTGTAATAATTAATATTCACTAAAACATCTAATACAGATGACGTTCCAGGAGGAATCCTCGCAACGAGCAACTTATCAAAGTGCTTCTTAAAAGAAAGAGGAAAAAAATAAATCTTGCTTTTTTCCCCAGTAAAGTCACTAATTATCGCCCAGCCCAACTTCCTGCCCACGATATTAATCAGGTGAGTCCTCATATGCAGCAGAATTTTTGTCGTGGTAGAGTGTGGGGGCTGGAGGAGCTGGGGCTGGTTCAGTGTGGGGGGGGCTGGAGGAGCTGGGGCTGGTTCAGTGTGGGGGGGGGGCTGGAGGAGCTGGGGCTGGTTCAGTGTGGGGGGGGGCTGGAGGAGCTGGGGCTGGTTCAGTGTGGGGGCTGGAGGAGCTGGGGCTGGTTCAGTGTGGGGGGCTGGAGGAGCTGGGGCTGGTTCAGTGTGGGGGCTGGAGGAGCTGGGGCTGGTTCAGTGTGGGGGCTGGTTCAGTGTGGAGGGCTGGAGGAGCTGGGGCTGGTTCAGTGTGGGGGCAGGAGGAGCTGGGGCTGGTTCACTGTGGGGGGCTGGAGGAGCTGGGGCTGGTTCAGTGTGGGGGCTGGAGGAGCTGGGACTGGTTCAGTGTGGGGGCTGGAGAGCTGGGGCTGGTTCAGTGTGGGGCTGGAGGAGCTGGGGCTGGTTCACTGTGGGGGCTGGTTCAGTGTGGGGGGCTGGAGGAGCTGGGCTGGTTCAGTGTGGGGCAGGAGGAGCTGGGGGGGGTTCACTGTGGGGGGCTGGAGGAGCTGGGGCTGGTTCAGTGTGGGGGCTGGAGGAGCTGGGACTGGTTCAGTGTGGGGGCTGGAGAAGCTGGGGCTGGTTCAGTGTGGGGGGGGGGCTGGAGGAGCTGGGGCTGGTTCAGTGAAGGGGACTGGAGTAGCTGGGGCTGGTTCAGTGTGGGGACTGGAGGAGCTGGGGCTGGTTCAGTGTGGGGGGCTGGAGGAGCTGGGGCTGGTTCAGTGGTGGGGACTGGAGGAGCTGGGGCTGGTTCAGTGTGGGGGGGCTGGAGGAGCTGGGGCTGGTTCAGTGTGGGGGGCTGGAGTAGCTGGGGCTGGTTCAGTGTGGGGGGCTGGAGTAGCTGGGGCTGGTTCAGTGGTGGGGACTGGAGGAGCTGGGGCTGGTTCAGTGTGGGGGGCTGGAGTAGCTGGGGCTGGTTCAGTGTGGTGGGCTGGAGTAGCTGGGGCTGGTTCAGTGGTGGGGGCTGGAGGAGCTGGGGCTGGTTCAGTGTGGTGGGCTGGAGTAGCTGGGGCTGGTTCAGTGTGGGGGGGGCTGGAGGAGCTGGGGCTGGTTCAGTGGTGGGGGCTGGAGGAGCTGGGGCTGGTTCAGTGGTGGGGACTGGAGGAGCTGGGGCTGGTTCAGTGTGGTGGGCTGGAGTAGCTGGGGCTGGTTCAGTGTGGGGGGCTGGAGTAGCTGGGGCTGGTTCAGTGGTGGGGGCTGGAGGAGCTGGGGCTGGTTCAGTGGTTGGGGGGCTGGAGGAGCTGGGGGCTGGTTCAGTGGTGGGGGCTGCAGGAGCTGGGGCTGGTTCAGTAGGGGGGGAGAGAAGGTTCATGAGGAAGTTGAGTCGTCTTCCTAGGGTTCTAGACAAGGATTCATCAATCATTTAACGTGTTTAATTAAGAAATCTGTACATATTTCATTATTAATGGCTGCTTAGTTTGTATTTATTAAGTTGTCTTAAACTTCATACTTCACAACCCAAGGTTATTATTGCTATAGATAACCTGGCGTTTCGCTTCTCATAAACTGTTTAATAAATGCAAACTAAACATCCATGGTTGAGGAAAGATGTAGGGGCTTCGTAAGTGGACATATATATTTAAGCTTGATTAATCCTGGCTCTGGATAATATTTTATTCAGTTGGGCACTAGGAGTCTCGAACCACCGACCCCTGGAGCGGGAGACAGAAGCTCTACCAACTGTCCCACGATACAATTGACAGTATTATCCACGGTAGTGTGCTAGACAATTTGTTTGATGTGGCGTGGGTCGTCTAATTCCTCTTTGCTCTAGTGACAAAATAAAAATTTCGAAATTACGAAATGAATTACGTAATTTCATCATAAAGCCCAATTATGATGCGGACAATAGAGATGCATGGAGCTGATGAATAAATGCAACGCTACAGGGCAGCATCCTTCAAGAAATCGTCTGGAAAATTTAAGCTTTCAAAGAACCTCAGCGATGACTGTGAAGAAGTTGGGCAACGCTTTCACGCCTGCCAAGACGAAGGAAGAGATGGCTTTCGAAGGTTTCGCGGATCAGATAACTTCTTCTTCAGGGCTGTCACATCTCTCTTCTCCCCAACTGACACGCCATGAACGAAAAAAAAATAAAACACGAAGCTGACCAACATTTCAGAGCGGTACCAAAGAGGTTAAGTGAATTCCACACTAGCCTTGTAAAGATTCTTTATCAGGATAGTCAGCCAGAATGGGGAAGAAATTCAAGATATTTGTCCAATCTGCAGTGAGACAGAACGTCTAGAATCAATAATTAATGTTCAAGGATGTGAGGAAACTTACTTCCTTGAGTTCAATTCCACACAATATCACACTCTGAGGATCCTTGTAATAATTAAGGGGTGCTGCTTCTGGAAGAACATCTTCCTGTACATCTATGTATGGATGACTGGAGTCGTCTATTAACATCTTGATGTGTCACTCTTTTTATTCCGTAGAGGCAATGATCAACTCAAGCTGCTCACTGTATTTATTATCTGGTTGGAATCTTGACCAATTGTCGAACATCAATGTAAAAAAACTTTAGTTTTTAAGCAGTTGTCTTGGGCTTCTGATAATATTCGTCCGCGTCGCTTAGGATAACACCATGTTATCAAGGTGAGGTCAGCACACTCAGAAGGCGGCTGAAGAGCTCAATATTCAGTGACTTGGAGATGTCCTGATCTTAGACATTTGATATCGTTATGCAAAGTTCAGCAACCGCATCCCTATACTCAGTCAACACAAGAATATTCCTGCGATGGAGCCAGAGTTGGACGTGACATCAAACCGAGCTTTTTGTCTGGCTCCAGCTGTCTGGCGCCAACTGTCCGGCCCCAGCTGTTCCTAGTCACCCATGGTGCCCACGATGGCACTAGACGTTACAGCAGTAACGTCCAGTGTGTATTTCTGGTGTATATTTTGGTATGTGTTTCTGCATCTTCCAACAATCTTACAACTTTTAATCAGGAGACAAGAACAGGGAGACTTTTTTCCTGGCTACGTCCAGAGCAATCCTTCATGATTTTCTAATCTTCCAGATTGGAGTAACTGCTGAGTGGAAGGTTTCCGTTGCCTCAGCGACAGAGGGCCCTCCAATGTTTCATTTGAGTAAGGTGGTGACTGACACATGGGCCTATAATTGGAGTCTCTGTGCTTCGTCGTAGGAAGAATAGTGGCGATGATGGAGAAAATCGTTTATATTTGTAGAAGATGTGTGAATGTTGTTCTGAGAGACAGGTCAAGGGGAAATAATTGCGTAAGCGGTATCAAATGGCAAATATAAATGCACTGTCAAGCTTTATTAGCCTGAGAAAAATACCAGCAACCTTCCACAATTAAAACTTTAATATATATGGGATATAATATATGAGTAAAGAGCTCATGAGAGTATTGTTAATGCATGATACAGAGCCGATCATGCTGCCAGTTGTTTCCGTTCTTGAAGTATGACAGTTGAATTTGACTCTGCGGAAGGAAAGTCAAATTGGGTGATGTGGAAAACGTCACATAATGAATGTGTTAAAAAAAAAGTTATTAATTTATTTTATATAATAAGCAAAATAATAGGTTGTACTTGCAGGGATTGAGTTTCTGCTCTTTGATCCCCGCCTCTCGACTGCCAACCAACTGGTGTACATATTTCTGAGTTTATTAGGCTTTGTCTGTTCTTCTATGTATTCCCTAGGAATACGAAAATATTCCGAGTGATTATATCAGAATTTTGCCTTAATTGTTAACACATAATTTTTTTTTCAAGAAAATGTCAAGATTTAGTAACAATAATGCCAGGATTAATTGGATGTTTTGTTTTTTGGTGATGTTCATTCATCTGCTCATGCCAGCACGTTCTTCAACTAATCCATCAAGTAAGCCATTTATCCTACAGTCAGAGATGGATATTAATAATCCAGTGGGTTATGTTTCCAAGGCTAAAAAGGAAATCTGATGTAATCCGCACTTGCTAATCATATATGTATACATATAAATATATAATATATGTTTATATATATATATATATATATATATATATATATATATATATATATATATATATGTATATATATATATATATATATATATATATATATATATATATATATATATATATATATATATATATATATATATATATATATATCTTTGAAAATGTAATAAGGAATTACGAAACGCGTTCAGGCGTCACACCAGGAATAAAAAGAATTACTTTTGGAGAGTTACTTTATCAATTACCCTCGACAGTGAAGAAGAACGTAAGAAATATTGAGAAGATTCGTGTTAGAATTATTAATCTTACCCTTTCGGACATATTCAACAACATATGTTTACAAGAAAGACTCCTACCAAAATATACTAATATATACTATATATATATATATATATATATATATATATATATATATATATATATATATATATATATATATATATATATATATATATATATATATATATATATATATATATATATGCTTGGTGCATTTTCCAAATCATTCCTCATATATCCTTCTATCATTCTCCTTGGTATTTATATCCCTCTCGTTATTCTTCTCGGTCACTCCTGTAATTATTTCCGGTCACCCAATCGATGCTCTCATCGATTGTGGTCATGGCGTCATTCCTGTTATTCTCTCTATCTGGCCTGTGAGTTGTTCCTGTTACTTTCCGGTCAGTGCGTAGTTTCTTGTGTTCATTTGTTTCTATTTGGGACTTTTCCATGTCGGCACATTTCCAGCATCGCTTTTTTCACGGGGAGTGCATAGTTCATGCCCGTTATGGAGTGCCTGTGAGCGTTGCAGCCATTTCTTGTTTCTGTGTGTATTTCTGTCTGTCTGTCTGTCTGTCCCCTCTCTCTCTCCGTCTCTTTCATTCGGGTACACTTGTTATATCGTTTTCCGTGACCGGGGGAAAAAAAATCAAATAACAACAGCTCGTTGTTGTCCATTTTCTACAAAATATAAAACTCGTCGACACGTTTAATCTCGAAATGTTAATGGCTTCATCGCACTCAATACATTATTCGAGCATTTTGAAAACTGCATTTTGGAATGACAGAGATTCTGATGGATCAACAGAGAGTGAAAGAGAGCGTGCATCTCCTCAACTCTCACTTCCCCTCCCACACACACACACACACACACACACATGATATGCTGGAGTCTGTAACTCAGCAAGTACAAGACTAAATTGGAGAAGGTTCAGAGGTGTGCCAGCATTAGTACGCCGAACTGATTTAATTTTTGTTTAACACATTTAGGTAGATGAGCAACGAGAAGAGACTTTGGGAACTAAACCTCCCGTCGCTGGAAGACATGAGAATTAGGGGTGACATGATCACCACATACCAGATTCTTAGAGGAATTGATTGGGGAGATAAAAGATAATTTATTTAACACAGGGTACACAACTGGAAACTGAGAACCCAGATGAGGCATAAAAATATTAGAAAGGACTTTTTTTTTAGTATCAGAGTAGTTAACAAATAGAATGCACTTGGCAATGTTGTGGCCTAATAGGCTCCGCAATCTGTACACCGGTTGATTGACAGGTGAGCGGCGGGACCAAAGACCCGAAGCTCAACCCCTGTAAGCACAAATAGGTGAGTAAACATAGGATCTCGGGGCCGAGTGGACAACGTTCACGATTTGCAGTCCACGGATCCGGGTTCAATTCCCAACCAAGGCAGAAACAAATGGGTATGTTTTCTTTAAACCAATCTTAGTTCACTTAGTTCACCTATCAGTAAATTGATATCTGAGCGTTAGACAGATGTACCGTTACCGTTGGGATGTGTGTGTATATGTGGGTGTGTGTGACGGAGAGAGTCAATACATTAGACAACCGACTGCTAGAAAGGTGGGGTCCAAGAGCGAACAGTTCGATCCTGTTGGCATAAATAGTAAACACATTCACTCAAGGAAGTCCACACAAAGCTGGGTGCCGGAAGCAAGATACCGAATGGGAGAAGAAAACCTCCACGAGTAAAGCAGAGAGAAAAAAGGTGGAGCGGTTGACCTCATACAGACATCTATCTTCCGAAGCCCACATCAGGTGAGTATCATCAGCTGGGTGCGCGAGGTTGACCAACATATGAACTGTCTGTTGAAATCTATATATAATGTTTAGGACCTTATATACGTGTGTGTATCCGATCAATTCTGGAATTTGTGGCTACATAGTTGAGTCCTTACATCGTTGAACACAAAAGAAAGCTGGAGAAAGTTCAGAGGAATGCTTCCATAATATCTGAGCTAAGAGGCATGAATTACAAGGAGAGAGTCATAGGAATGAATTACTATATCAGTGAAAGAGGGAGGAGTAGAAATGATCACCATATACAAAATTGTCAAAGGAATAGACAGGGCAGCCTAGGTCGGTCTA